ACAGGAAAATGCTGTCAAAAAATTTTTAAGAATCTTCCATCCTTCCCCCAGCTCCTGCTTGGGGTAAGAACTTGTAATTCAGCAACACAGGATCCAGAGTTGTGGATCCAAGTTATGAGCTTCTAACAAATACAAATCAGATTTTGAGTGTGGTTAATACCATCATGCAGGATTTCATTTTTGATCATTTTTCATCTCCGGACAACTCCAGCATGTGGCAAGGCAACACACATTCCATTCTCACACAATAATGTTTTTAAAGAAAATGCTGTGTTTTTCCCACATTGCTTCTCCAAGTTGTCCCACCACCAGCATTTGGTTACAACACAAGCAGTCTCAAACTTGATTGGAGGAAAGGAAGAAGTAACTTGGGATGGCAACTGGCAAGGAAGCAGATAAAGGGAGGAGAAGAGAGTAATTTCTGGGCCTGACCTGGCAAGTAGTTATGACTGGATTGCATTAGGCAAAGTAGTGACAAGATCCAACAGAAGGAGGAGACTGTAAACTAGCAAAAAATCCACTAACACAGTGCAAGAATGCTAAGTTTAGAACAGGCAGGTTGAGAATAAAGAGAAAGAATGAAATAACAGCTTGAAATTGGGATTGGAACGCCAAAAAAAAAAAAAAAAAAAAACCATATCTGACAAAAACACCATGTTGAAAGGAGTGAAAGAAGCCTTGAAACGGTATACCAGTAGAAGGAGTAACAACTCAAAAAGAATGAGAGAGCTTTGCAACAAGATTAAAAGCTGGTGAGAATTAAAAAAAAAAAAAAAAAAATAATAATAATAATAATAATAATAATGCAGAACAGGTAAACAACTGCAGAATACAATGAAATCAGGTAATGTGATGAGAAAAACAAAATTAACGCTCATCAGGAAGACCTTGGGGGAGAGGGGACAATACAAACTACAAAGCAACAGGAAAAGCTGCCAGAAGAGAAAATGAGGCACCAAGTGTGAAAAGAATAGTGGATGGAGGAGAAAAGAAGACAGAGACTGGCAGGAACAGCTGGGTTTTCAGCAGAAAACCCATCTGAACAAGACTAATGTGGAAGATTGCATCAAGAGAAGCGTGACCAGCAGGTTAAGGGAGGTGATTCTGCCCCTCCACTCTGATCTTGTGAGACCCCACCTCAAGTACTGTGTCCAGTTCTGGAGACCCCAACACATGAAGGACCCAAAGCATTCTGTGGTCCTATGATAAGATGAGCTTTGTAGACAAGAATATATCTGGGATAAGGAGTTGGATTATTATAGGCAAAAGGGGTTTAGACTAAACACATTTCGCCAAGAGGGGTCAAGTTTAGACTGAGGTAAAATACAAAAATGAATCTGTGTTCATTAGACACTCTTATCCAACAATTAGAATGAAGAAATTGATTTCTGAATGCTTCTGACTCAGAAGACCATTTGTGAAACCAACATGTGCTGGCATACCTGGAGCCAAAGACAGTAACAACCAGAACAGCTACTTTTTTACTCTCGTATGTATTCTCTTGTGATTTTTGGTTAGCAAGTTCTCCAGTTATTACATGAACATTAAAGTGCTACATAGATGACAATAACTGCCTAACTCTCCCCAAGAAATCCCAAGAAACTGTATTATAAATGAATAGGCTTTAGCTCAGGTTCTGGGACCCCAAAGCTCCTATAAGGAAAAGCAGCAAGTCATCATCACTGTCCCTAAATAGCAGGCTGCTTGGTATGCTGTGGTATCCCACAGTGCTCCACATCCAGATGACTTGCTTTGAGTGCATTTACAGAATCAAGCCATAAAGGATTGAACTTCTTAACTTGTAAGAATCGCTTTAATTAGGAGCCAAAACTCCACAAATCTGGCAATAGCAAGAAAATAGTCTTCAGTATTTTAATAGAACTCTTTTTTCTTCTGAGCACCTACAGTACTAAGCAGCAGGTGTCAGGAGTTTTATGAATGCTCATGGTGACAACAGTATTGCCTGAATTCATTGATAGATTCAGTTCATAAAATATTTAAGAAGTTGTATCCTGGTGTTTCAAACTTTCTGTTTATAAATACATTTACAAACATAATTCAGATGAAAGACCAACATCACTGCAGAGGTAATAGATGCTATGAACTGGTAGATTATAAAAATATAGAAAATAATTTGTCTAATTATTTTATCCAATATGATGTCTAAAAAATCAAAGCCAACAATATGCAACTGAAAAATGTTGGAATTACAACTCACACTTTCATTCCAAGTACTTCATTCAAACTCTTCCCGTATGCTTAGAACAGGTTTCTGTTGCAAAGACTAATTTACAGAAGCTGTTGTGCTCTTCCTCTTCCTATGGGCATTTCAACATCTGTGCCTTTTTTTTTTTTCCAAAGTTTTGCTATGCCAGTGAAATCTACAAATTGTTTTATTGGGTTGTTTGCAGAAATCTGCTTAAACAGCACTTAAACGTGATTTTTTTCAGCTGGTGCACTCTTTCTGGCAGGAAATGTGATTATCAGTGTTTAGAAAATATGAGTACTATCAGTTTGAATCATAACAATAAATAAATTACCAACAAGTGGTCTTGCAAATAAACTATCTGAAAGAGAAAAACAGTCTAGCAGTAAGACCTCTAAAACTGGGAACAGCCCTTGTAGATAGGTCAGCTCTTCTAGCAAAGATTTCCCCTAGAATTAAGCTGTCAATTTTGTCATTTTATCAGACTTTCCATTGCATCAACCATGCCAAAATGTCCTAATTAAGATAAAGAATATCAATTTTGCCTTGAGGGCAAAATGCAACTTAATCAGTTTGGAAAATGTATCAGTCACAACACATGAGCAGACTACTCCTCTTGGAAAGAGCTGATGATCATGTTCATGAAGAATTAAGAGAGCTGCTCCAAAAAACATAGCAACATAGGTCAAAATTATGGCTGCAAGTTCTTTCGTCCAGACAGGAGAAGCAGCATCTAAGAAACTCAAACTTTTCCTCTTTAGTTATATCACTCAAGACAAATTATAGTTACAGCCTATAGTTTAGAGTCCAAAGTAAAAAAGCCAAATGTGTTTTACTTTGAGAAATCACAAGCTCTAACTTTCTGTAGAAAGCATGAAAAAAAAAAAACCTTAATATATGTGAACTATAGTATTTGTGAACTGTAATATCTGTAGAGAATTTTTAAGATGTCACAACATACATGAATCTTCTGTAATAAGACCTGCTACAAAAGGTTGATTACACATCAATTTTTTGCTGAAGTATCCAGAAATACCTTCCTATAGAAGAAACCTTAATCTTGGACCAGAAAAAAAAAACAATGTCAATGATGAAAAGATTTCCTCAATAATCTCTTCAAAAGGAAGGCCTTCTAACTTCAAAAATACATTAATCCCAGGGACACACACAAAAGCCCATCTGTGCTCTCAGGAGTCAGATCTCCAGTATGGGTTCTCCAGTTCCTGGCTTACACAGAAATCCTGATTTCACAGGTCAGTCATTCACCAACTGCAAAGCCTTCCCCCCAGCAGCCTTTACATTTTGAATGGAAATAAGAGATGAAGCAAAGCTACTGTTACTTCTGGAAGAATTAAAATAAATATTACTTCTCCAAATGGTATCTGATAGTTTTGACAGGAAATTAAGAAGCAGAATCTGTCAGAGCCTGTCAGAGTTCAAGAAGCATTTGGACAACATTCTCAGACATAGGGTTTGATTTTGGGGTGGTCCTGTACAGAGCCAAGGTTTGCACTCAGTGATGCCTGTGGGTTCCTTCCAATTTGCAACATTCTGTGATTCTAGAAATTTGTCCAATCCCACTGAACTGACTCTCCTCCTCTGTTAATCTCCTGGTTAGTACAGGTTTGTATTTGACGCATCGCATGTATCATCTTCAGGAAATACTGCCCTAATAAGGGAAAAGTAACAGTCTGGTTCTTTGATCTCAAAGCAGAATCTGCAAATACGGTTTTAGAATGCATTAAATGTACACACTGAAGCAAATTTGACCTCATTTTGATCCTCTTCTGTTCTGGACGGGAACAGCAAGCAGTACAGAGAAAAGCTTAACAGCTGAAACCAACACAGAAAGCAGAGATATGACTACATTACAGGTTTTCTGTAGTAGTCCACTGTAAAGAGAAGCAGTAGCTAATTCCATTTCCAATAATAAGAACTAAAAATAAAACACATGTGGGAGAAAATTCTAACTAAAACAGATTTTATAGTTTAATATAGCAATGAAATATTTGAGTGGGAAAGAAGAACTCATTAGTAGATGTAAACACAAAATTTGAATAATTTGGGCTAGAAGGATAGTGTCAAGGGAATAAATTAGGTTAGGCAGTTTTGCTGTCTCTGTAAGTTTTGTTATACTCTGCCAAGATGAAAGACAAGAGATAAGAAACTTGAAAACCAATCCACATTCAAGTTTCCTGAGGGTTTCTAGCTGAAAGTACTTCTTTTATTACATCATTTAAAGTTATGTAAAAATATAGGCAAATGTGCTCAACAAAAGGCAAAGAGAATACATGGGTCATATATGCTCACTTTACTATAGTACGGATGATTTGTATGTTTTGTATGTACCTTTAATTGCCATTCATCGCTGACTGCAATAGCAACATCTTCCCTTTTGTTTTCCAGTAGCCACATTACCCTGAATACTCTCACTTCCTTTGAAATCAAAGAACAGGGTTTACCTGGCAGCACAACTTCCTCCCAGACCAAGCAGCTTCATACGAATCAGAACTCATTTCACCCATGTATTCAAGATTACAGTGAGTCCTGTTGATATTAAGAGGTTTTAAAACAAAAACCTCAGGGACAAACAAAATGAAATAACCTCCAAAATAATATATAAAAGTACAAAAACATGCTGTCAGTCTGCTGTGTTTTTCAAAGTAATGAATGTTGAAAATGACCATAAAAGTGAACAAATCTAGTTGAGCTATAAGACAGAATAATGACCAATAATAACATCAGAACACCACCTGTGAATTGAAAAATAACTAACTAATGGAAGACACATTACCTTTAAAATTGTAATATTCCATGTAAAGCTTTCTATTGATTTTTGCAGTTTTCTTTCTTTTAAGCCTTCTCTTGCTCCTATATTGTGCAGGTTTTCATGAAACTCCATTGCTGTGGAGAGTAAAAGAGGGAATAATATAGTAATTATTTTCATGTATTTCTGTGATCATAGAAACAGTGATTTGAAACTAAAAAGGTAAAGAACAATGAAAAAACTCCAGAAATTTCATTCTTCAAGCACAAATATATCCGTGAAGTTATAGTACATGCCAATATACTCAGATCTCTCTAAGTCAAAATCTACACTGCAAGACCTGCTGGGTCACTACCTTAGAAACATGGAGCCAAACAAATATTTACTATATAAAATATTTTTCAATCACAATAGAATCTGTTGCACTACATGTGAAGACCATCTTGTGGATCACCGCGAAATGGAAGCATTAATTTCACAAAATATGTCCCAACAAATTTATTTTGTGCTTTGCTCTATTGCGCACCAAATCTACATCACAGTTGCCCAATTTACGTGCTGGGAGCCATGCAGAATACAGCCTTCTCACCTTACCCCTGAGGGAAAGGGCACAAATGGTGGTGAAAAAGGTGGCAGCGGAGTGAACCACCAAGAACATTTACACTCATGTAAACTACTGTCTCCATGCAACTTGCATCTGACAGACCCTGACCCAAAAATTTACTGCAAAATTCAATGCAGTAGAATGACCAGAGCATACATCTGTACACTGAAATGTACAGACTTAATAACAAATAAATTGCTTTCCATGATGCTGCTCCAAGTCATACATAAAGAAGTTTGAAACACAGTTTCCTTCCTACACAGAAAGTAGCATGTCCTTCCATGGATATACACATCATCGTAGCCTGCATTACAGTAATCCTCCTCCCTTCTTAAACTGTTCTCTGAAGGTCTCCATCAGTAATAACATAGAGTTACATAATACAATTTACAGCTATGAATTTAAAATCAAGGTATAGTGTGAATCTAAATTATCCCATTAACTACATTGATTCATTTCTTCTATCTGCTCTTGAGTAGATGTGCTTTAAAATTTACATGGAATTAATTGCCATGAAATCCACATACAAATCTGTGTTGCCTGTCAATCCTAATCAGAGTAGGTTGACTTTTAAGGGCATTATTGTATCTGCTCTTCTCTGTAATCTCTCAGCCTCACACTCATGTCTTAATACAAAAGAAAGATATGTCTGAATGTTTTCATCATATTCTTGTTTACCTTATTATTCCTACATAAACATATATATATATATGTATATATAAAAAATTAAAAATGTTTCATAAATTAATTTCAAAGACAGACAAAAAACCCCTTGTTAACTTTTCTTATCATGTAAATTTTACTGCAAGAAAAATAGACAGCATATACTTTCCCTGAATTAAACTACTGTATTGTTTTTAGTTCAAAATACTTCTCCATAGCTCTACCTCTGCACTGAGAGTACAGCCTTAAGAAAAGCATTCATTTGGCATTTCCTCAGTCTTAAACCAGGTGAGAAATTAAAGTTCCTCCATCCATCACTGTTTCCAAGTATCTGTTTTCTGTTCAGATCATCATCAAAAAAAACAAAAAAAAAAAACCAAAAAAACCACCTCCCAGTGTGATCATGGAAAGATGGTGCACAGACCCATATTTAGAACACTACATTTTTAGAGCCTTCATAACAATAGAGATTATCTTATCCGCACCATTTATGCCCAGATTATGCTGATAAACTTGGAGTTCTATACTCCAATTCTCAGAAGAATAAATAAATAAGCAAGGTGTATGGAATATAAGCAGGTGACTTGCAGCGTAACCCCGTTATCAGCTGTTATTACATTAAAAAAGTGAAAGGACAAGAACACAAGCAGCACGCTTACAGAACTGCAGTACTGATGCATTAACCTCATCTCCATCTTTATAAATACTCCCCTTCAAATCCTAGCCCATGGGCACTAGTGACTAATAACAACCATGAAGCAAAGCTACTCTGAGATTAAGAATAATGCTGAGGGACTGCATAAATGGTGTGAAATCGGTGCTTTGCAGATTATAGATTATTCTAATTTATACAATATCACTGGTAATACAGACATGGAGACAACAGTCTCCAAATGTTCTGCTAGCTAGAAGAACTCATCATTTATGGCACACTGAGGACCTTCTGTGGTGATCACCTTCTTCACACTCAAGCTGAGCTACAATTCTGTTTTGTCAAAGCCATTCCACTCGAGCTAAATACTCCGAGCAGTTGGCAGCAACATCGCATTGCCCTTTTTTCAGAAAACAAAATCATGTCAGATGATCCCACCAAGGCATACACATGTAAAACTTTGACAAACAAGTCACCTGCTTAACAAGCACTAATCACACCTCTGTCCTCAACTCTTCTTCCAGACAGGAAAGGACAACTCCTCATTATCACTGTAAACTAAAAGGAATCCCATTCCAAACTAAACATAGAACCAGAAGCTAATGGATTTAAATCATATTTCTGTTGCTATTAGCAATTTGCCAGGTAAACTTAAATGGATTATTTCACCTTTCATTATTTCACCTCTGAACTGTATCAGTCTCATTTTTTTTCCATCTGCTGGTTGGAATTAGCCATGTTCCCTATACAGTATATGGGCAACCTGAGCCTTAATTATAAAGTATGAATGCAGCACAGCATTCATCTATTGACTACATTTCTCCTGGTATTCTCCTTCTTTGTCCCTACTTGTTTTTCTTGTGTATTTTTTTTTCTCAGAACTGGCTATTTTCATGCATTAATATTGGCAAAGTAATAACAGAAGTGTTAAATTCCAAAATGAAGCTGACTTTCAGAAGATAAAAGGAAAAAGGGAAGAAAGAGATTTGCATTCACAATTCATTAATAAAATGACAAATATGTTCACACAGTCACTTGAAAGTGCCTTTAAGATAAGCTTAAAAAAACCTCTTTTTTAATAAATAAATTCACAGGATTTTCTATATCCTTGCAAGCAAAAATTCAGCTCTTGCTTTCATTAAGATATGGTAAGCAAGTTAGCTTTATGAGGCTTAACTACTTCTAGAATTATTAGTCCATTAGTACCTTGAACTGCCTAACATCTCTTGGAGGGTAATAGTCATTATGCTAATTTGATTTATCACTCTTACCATATTTCTATGTATACCACCTGTTTAATGCAAGAAATACAAGTTACTCATGCTTTCCATTTTTACTAGCAGCTATTAAAAAAAGACATCACCCACAAATTTCTCTGTGATCATGAAAATTTCATAGAATGCCAGCGTACACTAATGCAATGGTAATGTCATTATTAACATTTAGTCGTATTTCTCCAAGTGAAAAAAGCCCTAAACTATAAAAGAGCTACTACTTTGTGAAAGAGGAAGATGGCTTCCTTTTTTCCTTTAACAGAACAGATGACAAGAGCATTCTCAAGAGATGCATTTCTTGACTTTTAAATTCGGTGTTATCACTGAAGGTCAATATGAAATAATAAAAAAAAAAAAATGAACATAAACAGTATAGAGTTGAACAAGAATTCCTCAAAAGGTGATATATATAAGGAACCATGGCAACATGGTCACTCTCTAAGTACCTCTGTGTCACTCCAGAGCGTACATTTGCTATGCTTAGCAGTCATTTCATTCTGCTGCAACCTGCACAGCAAATAGGAATGGCAAATGAAGACTGTATGAAGGCCTCTCAGAGTTGGCCAGAAAGCATCCCCTCATCCCCACCCTTCTTCAGAAAGGCCTATTACAAATTAATCACGGATTTGCACTTAGTAGCATCTTATGCTGAATCAAAACCAAAGTGCTGTCATCAGTAAGTAACAACATTAGTGTAATATCCAACTGATGTGAAATGAAGCACTACATCTCTCAGAATGCTGATGGAAGTGATCTGAGTATGAAAGCTCTTGACTTAGGAGATCAGTGTAAAGAGTGAGACGACAGCCATAAATCTATCAAAAGCTGTCCACTTTCATCTCCACAAATTAATTTTAACAATCGTCTCCTAAGATACTCATACCAATGTATACAGACTCTGAATTCTATAGTTGTAGGAATTGAAGCTGTCGAGAAAGGTTGACGTAGTTGGCTTACCAGGAAAATTTGAAAAGAGAAAAAGCAATAAAAAGGAGCTGAGAAAGGCTCAGTAGATAAATGTCTGCTCAGCAATACCTGGCTAAATAAGAACTGCAATAAGATTTTGTCTCTAGTGAAAATTACAGTCGGGAGGAAAGAGAGCTCCTCTCACGCTGAGAGAAATCATCTATGATAGATTTGTTAATCCCAGCCATCATAATTGTGTATAGAATGACATACAACACAATAAAAACAAGTTGATTTCTTATTAATCATACAGACTTAACCAACTTAACCGAGTGAAAACAGCTTGAAAAAGGTAAGACACCCATGGTTCTGAACAGCTCAGGAATGACAACACCCACTTATCTTTTGCATCCTGCTCTATCTTATGTAATTACCAATTATACTACCAGAATTAATCTAGTTTATTACTAGTAGTGCAATGAACTAATGGGAATTTAATCTGTCCCATTTATCACAATGTTGAAAAGAATTTTAATATCACTGTTCAGGAGATTATCTTAAGGTTTGTTTGTGCTGTTTTGAGCAAATATTACTACTGAGTAGTGATCACAACCTCTCATTTATGTTAACCGAGATAGCTCAGTCTCACTTATGAATTAGAATGCAGTGACTTACATTGCCTTAACTACAGGTTTTACTTCCTGTTGTTTAGAAATCTACATATGGCCAAATGCTGTGGTCTGCCTGTTAAATGCTGTTGAGGCAGAGCTTTAAGCCTGGCTGGTCAGATAACTTTCAGCCCACCTCACTCTCCTCTTATCTAGTCCGTACTTCCTGAATGTCTGAGACAATGTTAAGGAAGTATGTTGAAAGCATCAACAGAGTCAAAACAAGACCAAGACCAAGCTAGTCTTCTCACAGCACTGTAGTCACCTCAAGGTACTGCACCTATAATATGGATTAAAATATGATAAAAATATGATATACAAAGCAGCATAACTCATTGTTATTATTTTTAAACTACTTAAAAAGAGCATA